AGGTCTGTTGATGGCACCTTCAGTTAAAGTCACCTTGGGATTTAAATGTGTGTTGTTTCTGGGACCTCCTTCGGTATCTAAAACCTGTGACTCTTTGTGAAACACTGCTGAGACTTACATCTTCCACTCTATTTCCATGGTTATGTCCAAGCCCAGGCTCTCATAAACCTCACGCTGAAATTGGCTTCTTGACTGTTCAGTCTAAATTCAACTTGCAAATTACACCAGAATAATTCCACACTTACTTCATTAGGCAATTAAAAATGTTAAGACACTCACTGGCCTGTTTTACCTTTGAGGTAGTGTTGTAAAATGACTGGAACCATAGACTTTAGAATCATTCATTCACCTTATAATGATATAATGATACTGAATACCAACTATGTTCCAGGCCCACTATGGGAGCTGGGAGTAAAGTGAGAAACAAGATAAAGTCCCTATACACATCTGCTTACATTCCAATAGTGTAGAAAGATGGTAACCAAGCCACATCACTTCAAAGAAGGATAGGAAAAATAACAATATTTAAAAACAGTAGTCAGCAAAGGAACTGGGTGGCACGGTGGATTAAGCATTGGGCTATTAACAAAAGTTGAACAGTTCAAACCCACCAGTTAATCTGCTGAAGAACTATGTGACACTTTGCTTCCACAAAGATTTACAGCCTCAGAGACTGCATGGAGCAGTTCTGCTCTGTCCTATACAAGTTGACATCAACTCGACAGCAGTGGGCTTGGTCAGAGAAGGCTCCTCTGAGGAGGTAGGGTTTTTAAGCTAAGAAATAAACAGCAAATATACATTCCTGAGAAAGAAGCTAGCTTGCCATTTTTAGAAATAGAACAGCTGCCTGGATGGATGAATTTAGCTATTAACTGAGTGGTAAAGCAGAGTAAGAGCAGTTCAAAGCATGGCACTGATTACTAGCTGTGTGATCTTGGAAGCTACCTATTAAATGGGGATAAAAGTTATCTCCTAAGATAGGTGTGAGGATTACATGAGCTAATATGTATAAAATAGATCTGATGCCATCTTCATCATTATTACAATTACAACAGATATCCTACCACTTAAAAACATGCAAGGGGAAGCAACAAAGCCCACATGGAAGAAGCACACCAGCCTATGCAATCACGAGGTGTCAAAGGGATCAGGTATAAGGCATCATCAGAACAAAAAATCTTACCATAGTGAATGATGGGGGGAGTGCGGAGTGGAGACCCAAAGCCCATTAGTAGGCCACTGGAGATCCCCTTGCAGAGGAGTCTCATGGAGGAGATGAGCCAGTCAGGGTGCGATGTAGCAATGATGAAAAATACAACTTTCCTCTAGTTCCTAAATGTTTCCTCCCCGCTCCCACTATCATGATCCGAATTCTACCTTGCAAGTCTGGCTAGACCAGAGGATGTACACTGGTACAGATAGGAACTGGAAATACAGGGAATCCAGGGCGGATGATCCCTACAGGACCAGTGGTGTGAGTGGCGATACTGGGAGGGTAGAGGGAGAGTGGGTTGGAAAGAGGGAACCGATTATAAGGAACTATATGTGACCTCCTCCCTGGGGGATGGACAACAGAAAAGTGGGTGAAAGGAGACGTCGGACAGGGCAAGATTTGACAAAATTATAATTTATAAATTACCAAGGGCTCATGAGGGAGAGGGGAGCGGGGAGGGAGGGGAAAAATGAGGACCTAATGCCGGGGGCTTAAGTGGAGAGGAAATGTTTTGAGAATGATGAGGGCAATGAATGTACAAATGCGCTTTGCACAATTGATGTATGTATGAATTGTGATGAGAGTTGTATGAGCCCCTAATAAAATGATTAAAAAAAACAAAACATGCAAGGGGCTTCAAAAAGTTCACGATAAAATTCCCATTTTCCCGTTATTTAAGCCCCACTCATATATTTATAGTTTGTGTGACAATCTGCTAACGACTTGACTTCCTCCAATATGCCAGGTAATAGTGACCTCCCAGGATGGCAGAGTCTGCTCTCAGTTACTAACATAAAGGTGGTTAATTCAAACTCACCCCATATGTCCAGAGAAGAAAGGCCAGGATTTGCTCCCCCAAAAATGATTAGAGCCTAGAGTTCCACACTGTACACATGGGGATTGCTACAGTGTCAATAGACTCAAAAGCATTGAGTTTGGATTTTTTGTTGTTGTTCATTTTGTTTTAACGTTTTCGTGTTAGAATAGTACACAGACACACCTGTATAGTGGAGACAACCCTGCATCGAGCAAGTCCATCTGCACCGCTTTTCCACCAGCCTGTGCTCACTTTGTGCCTGGTGGTTTGGTAACTTTCACAGTATTTCAAACTTTATCATAATGCTACTGCACCCTTAATAAACTATCCTCAAACTCACTGCCATTGAGTAATTCTGACTAATGGTGAATTATGGGGCAGAGTAGAATAGCCCCGGTAGGTTTCCAAGGCTGTAACTCTTTACAAGAATAGAAAGCCTCACCTTTTTCCTGAAAAACAACCCAATGCATAACCACTATGCCACCAGGGCTCCCTAATACACAATAGTATAAACAGAACTACTATGTGCACCATGAAACCAAAAGATGTGACTCACTCTACTGCGATATTCACTCTGTAGCAGTGGTCTGAAATCAAACCTGCAGTATCCCCAAGGTGTGCCTGTATAGATCTGGCTCCTCCCTATTTCCAAGTAGAGACAAACATTTGTAAATCATACACACTTGGGCAAATGATTCAGTAGTATGAAAACATATAATTTAGGACTCAGCATAGACATTTTTGGTTTGCTTTTATTGTGGTAGCTGTCTGGATTCCCCCCTACCCCATCCCCAATAAAAGTAAGCAGAGCTGATATCTTAAGTATATAATCTTTATAGGAAACTAAAATATAAAAAAAGATAATGAAGCAAGAAGAGGGAAAGAGAAGGCAGGCTCCTACTACAAGGAACAGCATGTGTCTAACTTTCACACAAGGAGGAATAGAGCGCATTCAGTGGACTCAAGGAAAGCCAAGGGGACCATCTCACAGTGAGTCAGGAGAATGCTGCTGCAGTTACACGCCATCAAGGCAATTCTGATGCACACTGACTCCATATAGGACAGAGGATTGCTGCTCAACAGGTTCCTTGAGTAGACTGCTGGGTCCTTTCTTCCACAAAGCCTCTGGGTGGGACACAAACATTTCAAGCATTTAACCATAGCACCACCAGGACTCCTTAGAGCGGTGGTTCTCAACCTTCCTAATGCAGTGACCCTTTAATACAGTTCCTCATGTGTGGTGACCCCCCCCACCAACCATACAATTATTTTCACTGCTACTTCATAACTATAATTTTGCTACTGTTATGAATCAGGTGACCCCTGTGAAAGGGTCGTTCGACTCCTAAAGGGGTCGCGACCCACAGGTTAAGAACGGCTGCCTTAGAGAGCATACTGAAGAAAAAAAAATCAAACCACACCCACTGCCACGCAGCCAATTCCAATTTGTAGTGACTTCTATATACAGTTTCTGGGGCTGCAAATCAAATCGTTACCAGAGCGATTTCTTCTTCTGCAGTGACAGAGGAGTCTGAATCCCCAAACTTGCAGTTAGCAGTCCAATGTTTACCCACAAGTGCCAGAGAACAGCTGAAGAAAAAAAACTGATGCTGTAGGTGAAGGAGCCAAATGACAGAGAGCAAAATCCTATTAACCAATAAAAATGAATTCTTTAACAGATTACAAAGCACTTAAACATGTTTGTTTGGGTTTGTTTTTTTTCTTGGCCAACTTGTAGAGTAGTTATTATTCCAAATCTAATTCTTTCCCTCCTCTTTAGAATGTCTTCAGGGTAAGATCCAAATAGTTAAACCACGTTGTCTGCTGCCTTCTACTCCTTTCTCAAGAGTTTGCACAAGCTACTATTCTCTAAGAAACCCATACTGAACATATGCTCTCATCAAAGTACTTTCTAAAAATTCATGAGCCAAATAAAACACTTAAAAGACCTTAAAAATAACAAACATATCAATTACCCAGCGTTAAAAAAAAAGAATAGGGGGGGTCTGACACCACTTTTTAAAAGTATGTATTATTTACAGATCTGCCTCCTTCATCCAACCATAAACTCCTGGGAGGTAGGGAGTGTGTGCCAGCCACTTAGCAGCTCCCACCCCACCCACCCACCACACACAACAGGTGGAAACACTGAGGCTTACAGTGTGTGAGAGGTCATACAGCTAACAAATCGTGGCACTCCGGTCAAGTATAAGCTAACCTGACTTTTCTTTCTCTATTCACAACCAAACTTTCAGCCTCTAAAGTCTCAGGTCATAGTCTAAAACTCCCAAGTAGGCATTCACCCAACAAACGAGTCATAGGTGTCCAATACTGTGGAATTCATTTGAAAGCACACGCTTTTTTGAGAAGGGAAAATCTGTTAATAACAGGCCCAAGGTGTGGCTGCGTCCAGATTTAAACACATCCCTCCATGGCGAAACTCACAAGTCCAGCACACTAGAGCACGCACGCACCCCAGAGCTAAGCGAATTCCGTTCCCCTTCAGAGACTGAGAGAAGTTGTGTTGAGGGGATTGGATCAGCAACCCGGTTTTGGAGAACGACGCAGATTTATTTATGGATCTTCTACTCCTTTGGGGCACTGACCTGTAACCCATACACAGCACTTAGCAGCAGGCCCGGCAGGCAGTACACTGAAGAGAAGCTTCAGCAGCCACCTGTCCTCCCCCTCGGCGCCACTCGGCCACCTCAGCAAGGGGTCAGGCCTCCCCTGCATCCTGGGGCCGGTGGGTCGGCGCAGAGGCAGGTCGATCGTCTACGGAGGAGCACTCAAGGCTGGACACGCCGCGGACCCCCGCCCGAGGCCCGGCCAGGCCAGGGGCGGCCTGCCTCAGGTTTCGCTCCGCCAGCGCGTCCAGCGAGACCCCCAGGTAAAGAGAGAAGAGAAACCCTACTTCCTAACCGCCTCCCGAAGCTTTGCATCTTTCTGCACCCCGCCACCGCCAGTTACCTTCCCAAGTGACATCGTAAAGCTCAGAGACCTTCGCCATCTTCAAAGAACCCGGAGGCAGCTGGTGAGAGGGCGGAGAGGTGAGGTCACATGACCAACCCATGGGCGGGTGCGAATTACGATTTCATTTTTCATTGGCTGAGAACGCGGAGTGGGCGGGATCGGCCACGCACGTATACGCGGCTCTGGGCGGGGTTTGGAGGGGAAGGGGCGGGGCGGAGCCTGGAGGGCGGCGCGCTGGGCTCCAGGAGTTGGAGAATGCCGGGAGCTCCGCGGGCAAAAGGCTAGTTTGGGGTCTTGTGTCGTATTGTTTTGGGGGTTTGTTTGTTTGTTTGTTTGTTTGTTTTCACCATAAGTTTAAACAGACACTGAACTTTTTACATCTTCCACTGCCGAGTTATCATTGACTTTTACATCGGTGTATCCAGTCTCTTCACACACCCCAGGCATGGCCTGCTGAGGCACTCTGCCTGGAATCTCCATTAACTACCGTCTGGGCCTTAACAGCAGTCACTTTTCTAATGCTCAACTGAAGTGGTGAACTCCCAGGTTTCCATTAACTCTCCTAGAGGCGCTGTGCGAGATGCTGCCTTTGCACTTTATGTCCGTGTGTCGAAGGACCCTGCCTGCACTGGTGCTTTTCTGCAGCCTGCCACTCTTTGCGCTGCGCATGGACGTAGTGCCTCCCACTAGATGTGAAACTTTCCAAGAACAGCCTCTGCGTAATGAACCTTCATCGCCCTACACTTTGCATTTTTACCCTTCCCCACCAAACACAGTGCTCTTAAGATGTTTTGGCCCTTGTTTCCCACGACTAGGGAGAAATGTCTGGATTTTAAATCTAGAATCCCTGAGAATTTGAAAGTATTCTGCATTCCCCCTTGTTGGATTAGGATGCTTCTATAGAATCTTTAGTAACAGTAGCTAGGTGCCATCTAATTTTAATCTTTTGAGAGATGTGGTTCATGGAGGTAGTTAGCCACAAGTCCATTGCCTCCTATTGCATGCCACTGGTGTCATTGGTATCTTAGCACTTGGCCTCTAGCAGCAAGATCTCAAGGAGTTTCAATTACCTATAAAGATTAGCCTAGGAAATCCTATGGTGGAGTTCCTCTTTGCCCTATAGGATCTCTAGAAGTTAGAATTGACTCAATGGTACACAAGAGAACTATCTCTGAAGGGTAGTGGATTTCTCTTATGCATGGCCTTTCTGTCCTGAGTTTATAATTCTGCCAGGAATGAATGACAAGGCCACATGTTAGAGAGATTGGTCAGTGTGCTGTGCAAATAGGGTACATAAAGCCACTCAATAAGATTAATTGACCTTGAGGCAATTGTTCCATTACTATGCCAATTGAGTGGTTATAGTGGTCTACTGAGGGGATTGCTCAGTTCATGTGCTTTTAAATGAAATATAAATGCCAGCCCCACAGAGGTTGAAGGGTACCCCATTACCATCAAGAAGAGGGACCTAGAGCGTAGAGCATCTCTTGGACCTGCTGATAACTTTGTAGACCTAGGACAGAGAGAGAGCTGCAACACGGAAGATGGTACAAGATTATAAGAAATGGTGACAACCAGGGCAGAGCCCTGTGGCAGAGACATGGTATGTGCTTCGGGGTTTCCAGCCAACAGAGCAAGAGAGAGCTGAGTGCCTTTTGGTAGGAAGCCTGCTGACTGAGTAAGGTGCCTCCAGCACCTGTTATTGGGGTCAAAGATTTATAACACTTTTTTTTCATCATTTTATTAGGGGCTCATACAACTCTTATCACAATCCATACATACATCAATTGTGTAAAGCGCATTTGTACATTCATTGC